CTTCTTGAGTCCTGTAAGAATTGTTCACAAACGGAGTGTTCACAACCGAAAACAGTATGTATTGGTTGTATAAGAGAGCGGCATAAAATGGATCTTGCTAGCCTTCCGATCATCCTTCGGAAAGAACTTGTCTTCCAGCATAATTTGTCTCCTGAACGCGCCGGATGCCTGATAGATCATCTAGCTTTGCTATCTTTATACATTTCCACGTCGAAATTCGCTCTCAATCAGAGCGAATCCGTTAAAAATACAATATTTGCAATCCAAAACATAGGAGAAAAAGATTTTCCTCATCTTGTTTATCGCGAAGTAGCCTTCTGGTGTACTGGTCAGCTTTACAGCGGCTTTCGGGACAAACCAGAATTTTGGTATTTCTTATAAAACATATTACTTACTATAAATAAGTGATATTTACTTGTTTAATTTCCTTTTTAGTCTTCCCTCGGATGAACTGCTTAGTCAGTTTGTAATAATGAATTTGACTGGAGACATCTTTGGCACGGGTTCCGAGCAAGTAACCTTACTTTTTATTTTTTACCATTTTTAGGTTCTGAATGAAATGTGTGAAGCACGAGAATCCTCGAATGTTCTCGAACTCGCTGAGCGATTAGGTGTTCTGTTAAATCATGATCTTTGCACAATTAAAAGTGCTTGTTCTGAATTTATCGAAAATAATTCAAAGTTGGTAAGCATCTCATTTTATTCCTAGTTTTTAATTGCTTATATTCAAATAACACTAATTTTGTCATTTTTCGCTTTCCAGGTTGAGAAGTACATACGGAAAGGCAGAAAGCATCGAAATTTGCTCTCAATGGTTCGACGAATTGTACTTGACCATAAAGATCCCAAAAGGCTACATGAAGGACTTGTGGAACGCTGTCTTTCTGATATGTTCGGTAACGTCGGCATGTTTTTCCCCCTAGATTGTATTATTATTATTATTGTTATTATAAGCTAAAGCGGTGCAAGGATTTTACAGGTTTCATAATTAGAAAACAAATTAAATCAATTAGTAATAATAGCTTATACTACTAGAAACTAATTCAAGGCATCGAAAAGTTCTGCTTCGCGCGATTTTTATGGTTGGAAGAAAAGCACTTTCCTGGTGGGTGGTTCACATTCTTAAGTTGCATTTTCCTGATTCGCCAATTAGACCACTGAATTGAACTCTTTTCCCTATTCTGTATCCACTGCTTGCCTATTGGCTGTCTGATTGCGGTGTTCGATGTCATTTTTTTTCCCAAAGACTGAAAAAAAACAGAACTATCTAATGCATTGTTGAGTGGTAGTAGACAACTTTTTCAACTTAGCATCCGCTGGATAATGGCAACATAATAAAGAAGATCTGTCATTATTAGGCATGAATTCAGTCGTAGTTATCTCCTTGTAGTTTATCTATTATTAACAATCCTTATTGCGTGCATCTTCTTAGGAAATGGTTTTGACATGACAATTTTTTTATTTCCGCCAGTCTCTCATTTATATATATTTTTAATTTCTTTAGGCACGGACACCGAACAATAATTTACATCCTCTTCTTTCCCGCATGCTGGACGAAACCTACGCATATTTTGTATTTAGCTTAATGTATTGTTTTAATGCATCTTTGAGTATTTATTTTTTATAGTTGAAATTATAACGTTACAAGTTATGCTTTTTCTTACTCATGAAAAAAAAAATGCGAAATTTTTTGAGCGTTAAGTGTATATAATTAAATTGACGGCAGGCTTAGAGTGGGGGAGGGACGAGGTATATCAAGTCAGTAAATGCCTCAAGAAGTGCCTATCTCTTCTTCGGGGTAATTCTAGTTAAGGGGTCAGGAGCTGGCAACTCCATACTAATGTTTGTGAGTGCAATTAAGACCAGCGGCTTCCCGATTGTTTGGGAAATTGGTTGAATGGTCATATTCGATTAACATCCTTTTAGTTGATATCAAATGGCAGGCGTTTTGATAGTTATAGTTAAGTTGACCTCGGGCTTCACATTAAAGTGACAAAAAGTCGAGATGGGAGACAGAATAATGATTCACAGAGATAAAAGAAACAGACAGACAGACACAAAGGCATAAAAAGGTAAGATGAGTGCTGTGAAAGGGGTCGAATATGAAAAATAGTCGGGCCATAGAAATTTGAAGTCAGAAGTCAAATGCCGGTTAATAGACTTTTTTGCCGTATGAGTATACGTCGCCCAGGGTGCACCACGTGGAGGTAAGTCTATCGCACACCCCACAAATATATATATCTTAAAATATCCGCCTTTTTTATTTACTTCTAGACTTGCAGATATCCACGATATCCTCGTCTCAGCCACGAATCTTCTCACCAGTCATCAGTCAGCATCCGCCGAGGCTGCTGTTGGTGCAAGTGCCTCCACAATGGTGAGCTTTCTGCTCCAATCATAAGTTTGAGGAGTTTCGACTATTTTATTGATTTTTTGAAAGTTTCATTCATTTTTTATCGTGCTTTCAACAAAATTGTCACTTATACCGGATTTATTTCCATCATTCTTTTAAATCTTACTTTATGAACTCATATTAGGCTTATTACTGTCTCCTGGTGAAATGAGGACTAATCGTTGAAATACAATGTGAAAGCTGTCTATTACCCGTATCCCGATTGAATGATGTATGTATTGATCGACTCTCGCTACAATACCCTGGTCTTCTCATCTCTGATTGAAGAGCTTTTCCATCTTCAGATTGCGGTCCCCAGCTACTTTTATTGAACTGGGAAATTTTTCCCCTAAATACTGCGGGTTTTTATTTTTTTTTATCGGCTGCTAAGCAGGGCTTTTGCAATAAATGCGCATTTCTCATTTTGGTGGGTAGCTACAAATATTCTAACTTTTCCTCAAAATTTTCCATACACTGACTCCATAAATATGTAGCGTCTGTTTTCGGACCCTAGGACTGGTCTAGATGGGAAGCTTGACTGACTGTGTAACCCTTAAATACTACTTATATCTTCTAAAAAAATCAAATTATCAGCCTATTCACACGCTAAAATTATGTTTTTAGCATCGGTTTTGGGTATTTCTGTGCGTATATTTTCAATGTCGTGTTTCTCCGTCGATTCAAATTCCTCGATTCCAGGAGACTTATTTTATAATTCTTTAGCCTATTAGTTTGCGTGCAATTCCAATTTTTAGTGCATTCAATTCCTATTTCTTCTTTATTTCCATTCAACTCCTTAAGCTTCAACCTTTTCATATCACATGTTCACATCATAAAGATATCATTGTTTGTCTGATTTCTCGTATTCCACTAAGTCATGCACTTTTTATCGTAACAATTCATGGGAAACAACTTGGTGTTTACTCTTGGCAAATTCTGCGAAGTGGAGTAGCCTCTGGTGGTAAAGTCGAATTCCACCACCTTCCCTTATAGGTCAGACTTAAACAATGCGGTTGGCTATTCAACCACTCACTAGACGTGCATCGAACCAATTATCGGGGTTTTACGAAAATCCGCCCAGGTTGGTTAAACGGAAATTTTCATTTCTTGAATCTATTTCTTTGATGCAAATAAGCACCCATGGGGAGAGTCGAGCTTCAGTTTCAAACAGTGAAAAGCTGTAAGACTGCATTTTACTCTTTCGGAAAACCCCTGTACTCGATCTTTTCTTTAGTCTATCCTACAATAAGTATCTCCATTCATTCATACCGCCAAGTTCTTTTGGATAGACATTAATGAATGCATATGGCCATGGTCCTACCGTGAATTGACTACTACCAGCCAATCATAAAAGGGTGCGTGTGTGTGTGCAACCAATAATCAACAAGTTTTTACCATTTGACCATGGAGAGAGATTCTCTACTTTAGGCAGATATTTTTATTTGAAGACAAATTAAAATTTAAGGGGCGCGGAGGTTTGCAAGAGGAGGTGGTTGACAAAAACGTGGAAGTACGGAAAATGACGAAAGAAAGCAACCATCTTGCCACAATGGACACTACTACCCTCCCAACCAGCATGGGGTCTGTCTCGGAGATTATCTGGAACTCAAGCTTCTCTTTGCTCTATTCTGTGCTGACAAGCACTTCCATATCGTCTAGCGAGG